GGGACTGGAGAGAAAGACAGATAGAGACTGAGAGAGAAACTGGACACCAAACTTTAGCAAATCTATGTCCAAATCTATGAGGACAGAGAAGGATTGGGATTGGCTCACCTAGTCCTTGGCTTTCTTTAAAAACCAAGCAGGTGGATCTACTGGTGTTTCAGCTCAGCTGAAGTCTGATTCTGTTTTTAGCTGTCTCTGCAGAATTATCAGTCCCTGAAAGCAAGTGTCCATGCTCTTTGGGTTGGTAGTTGTCCCTCTCCTACTCTCCAACACACCCCCTACAAACTCTCTTTCTCTCTCTCTCTCTCTCTCTCTCTCTCTCTCTCTCTCTCTCTCTCTCTCTCCAACTCCACCCTCTACTCTTAAGAGTTGAACTTGTAACTCCAAGAAAAAGCTTCTCTGGGAGCTTCTGGAATTTTAGTTTCTCCCCAGGAGGCCGGATAAGCTGGTAGAAAACACTAAGGCCGGCTCACTGCTCCCCTGAGCAAAGTGTCATTTGCCAACCTTATGCAGTTAGGGGCAGGCATTTGAAGGGTCTGCTCACCTAGAAATACTTTAACATGGTCCATTAGAGGTAGGAGTTTTTTCCCCAAAGAACGGGTTTGGCTTCAGCCATTAGAAAACTTTCAAAAATTATTATCATTATTACTATTATTATTATGATTTTAATTTCCTAGATCCAGCAAGCCGTTTGAAAGGCATCAGTGGATTTACAGTGGGGGAAGCTGAAAGGACCTAAGCTGGGCTTCTGCTTTACTTTTAGTTTTCTTCTTCCTGTGTTCAAGCAGCCCAAGCTTTCAGACAGAAGAAAATTGAAGCTAATGGAGATATCAAACCGAGCCACAATTCTGAAGGCTCCCTCTCTGCCACAAACACCCACAGTGCATCTACACGTGTAATCACAGAGACTTGCCGGGTCTTCATTACTAGAGACTCTGAGACAAGGGAAGAAAATCCTCCAGCGTTGAAAGGAAGCCTCTATTACCACTATTATTATTTGTGTACAGCAACATAAGAATTTCTTTCTCTTCTTGAAATTCCCCCACAATATTAAAACACCATTTGTTGTCCGATTCATATAAACGCTTGAGGCCTTGCTGTAAAACCATTACCATTCAATGGCTAGAAAATTGCTCTCCTTCCTTTAAAAAAAAAATGAAAGAAAGAAAGAAAAATAAAAAAGGCTGTCGAAGCAGAAGCAGTAGCAGCTACACACACACACACACACACACACACACAGAGAGAGAGAGAGAGAGAGAGAGAGAGAGAGACAACAAAAACTTTCTCCTGCATAATCCTCCCTCGCACAATGACAAAGAAATGATATTGACTTACCCAGGAATGGATGATGTGTTTGATAAGGGGGGGTGTTTTTTGTGTGTGAAGATTTCTGTCCCGGAGCTACACAGACAGCTGCAATTCATGGGCGATGCTGATTGCTAGGAAGGCTATGGATTGGCATGGGGTCTGCAGCTCACACACCCTGATCAATACCCCTACACTCACACGCCAGATGGTTTGGGGAAGGGCAAAAATAAAATAGTCCAAAACAGCCCACCATTATGCCCCCCTTTGGTATTGCTCTGATAAACCTAGCTATGGCACAATTGTGTTGGGGACAACATAAAACCTGGGTATATACTGAGTGTTTGGATGTTTTTCTAGCCCCATGCCTTTCTAGACTAGGCTATGGCTACTGTTGGTTTTGTTTGTTTTGTTTTGTTTTAAGTTAAAACAACGCTGTTGGTATCTTCTCCAGATTGCACTGATTTAGGGTCTGTTCATATTTTTGTGAATAATTTATAGCGTTCCTGTTTTAATCGAGCTCCCCAGTTTTAGTATGAAAACTATAAATGAAAAACTAACAGTAAATATTTTTCAATGTTTTCATGCAATTTCTAACTTAAGCTCTGAATGTTTTTTCTCTCCTATTGTGCAAAAAAAAAAAAAAAAAACCAATCTAGCGGTGGAACATTTATTTTATCTGTACTCATTTACATTTCTGGTTGTGAAGGATATCTGACCTGCAGATGTGAGACACCGCGAAGTGGATCTCTGTGTCCTGACACAAAGCCTGATGCAGTTCCCTGATTCTAACAGAAACGGCTTGCCTGGCACTACATTTCCATAGACTATTTGTGAATCAAATGCTGGAGAGGGAGGGAGGGAGAGCAGAGTGTAAGTTCACATTAAAAGGCAAACCCCTGACCTAAAGGACTTGTTAAGCTTTGAGCAGAGCGTGGGGCTAAACACGGGAGGGTTAAAAAGTAGCTCTTCCCTTTTGTTTTAGTAAAGACTTAATGAGAAGGAAACACCAGAATATTCCAAAGCATATTCCAAAATCTCATTAGTATTGCTACTGTTAAAATTATCTTGAAGTGGAAAATAGTTTTCCCTTTTTTAGAAAGGAAGAGAGAGGGGCATCTAAAACCCATATCGGTTAAAAAAAAATTAGGGTGCTGACTAAACAAGCATTTTCATTCTCCCTTTAATCAGGTCCTGAGCTGGAATACAAATCATCAAAGCTATTAGAAAAACATCCTTGAAAAAAATCTGCTTTAATTTAACCCAATGAAATTATATACAAAGAAGCCCAATGCAATTTCATCATTTTCCTGAGATCGTCAATATTGATTGTGGGGGGGGGGTGAGGAATGGAGGGAGAAAGAGGAGGGCAGGAGCAAGGCAGTGAGAAAATGCATCTCACCTTTCTGTTCTCAGCATAGAAACACAATTCCCAGGAGCAGAATTGCCTTGGTGGCCTGGCAATTAGTTTATCATTTTGAAAAAATTTAAATGGAAATGCATATGCTGAGGGTTCTGTTTGTGTGCAGCGTCAGCCTAGGAGCTCCCTGGCTATTCCTTAAGCCTGAAGCCAGGGCAGCAGCAACTGGAAGTTACCTTCAGCATTGGAGTCCATCAGAGAGACCTTTTCCAGCCCTGATCTTCCCTGTTGTTTGGGGTCCTGTCACTGAGCCCTGTGGGACCAAGGGAGGTTGCTATCTGGAGAACTTTTGTTTGACAAGGTTTGTTTTTCAAACTGTTTCAAATTGTCCTGTGCCCAACCATTACAGATACAGTGAAGGAGGCAACACGGGGGAAAAACCAAAGTCACAGAAAACTGCATTATTTTTATGTGTCTCTTTTGTGAAGCTTAAAATGTTAACAGCTAGGAAATTAGAGATCTGGCGAAGACTGGGGTGTGCTGCTTTCCTACCCAAGCTTTGATGTCACAGAGGATGCTATTTGAAAGAATAATTGGCAACATATTGACCAGAGCTCAATAAAGTTGATCTATGAATAACATCACCGTACATTCATGAGTGGTGGTGGGGTGCGTCTGTAGCTGGAAAAGAGAAGAGACCCGCAGAAAAAGGTCAAAAAAGAACTATTTTCCAAATGAATTAAATCATTCTTTAGTCCCAAGAAGACACATACAGTATTCCGGGCTGCCCTTGTTTTCTTACCAAGTTTTCTCTAACAGCTGGAAATGGTCGGAGGGGGCTGTCTTAAGAAGACCCCCTGCTCTTCTTTTGACAGCTGATCAAAAGAAAATAGGTCACGCTTCTCAAACTTATGTCCACCCTGTCCTTAATTACTGTCTCTTTAAACAAAGGCAACATCTGCGCAACCTCGAGCTAGCTTGAATCTTCGGAGGCAAACGGAGCGCAACCTGCTTTGGAAGAATCTGTTACTTTTAAGGCTTTCAGTGCCTGATGTTGGCCTCTCTGGCTGTCTTCTATCACCACTCAACCCCCACACAGTTCGCGGAAATTACTACCTCCTCCACTCCGACCTCCCGACCTGGGTTTGTCAAACAACGGGAATTCTAGGAAGAAGAAGGTGTACATTTTAAAGCTACAGCTTTCAAGAGCATTCTCCCTCGTAGTCAACGCCCCAGGCTCGAATCTTTTTAGAAACCTGAGTTGAAAATGCAAATGCCAGCGGAGTCTCACCATGGCAGTAAGCTAGGGTAGACAGTTCTCTCCAGAATTTGAGATAAACGGTGTGTGTGTGTGTGTGTGTGTGTGTGTGTGTGTGTGTGTGTGTGTGTAAAGGAAAGATACACGGGTGTTGTTCCCACTATTTTGCATACTCTGCCTCCAGAAGTTTGTGGGGCTGTGAATATCAGTAAAACTCCACCCGCAACCCCCCATCCCCACCCCATCCCGCTTCCAGTTCTACACTCCCCCCCCCCCTTTTCCCTGTTCTCTGAAGGAGCAAGCATTTGGTCATCTCGAAATCGCAGCTTCTGGAATTTTAGTTTTGTTTTGCAATGTAGAAGGGTCCTTCTGAAGCCTCATAACTGGGAGATTTAATGGGGTGGCCAGTAATTAAACGATGTTATTGTGTTAACTTTGCATGCATTAGGGTTGCTTGCGCCGCCGCCAATGTGAACCTTCCGCCGCCGGCGGCCGCAGCTCTTAGGCAGCCCAGGCGGTCTAGCTGCTGTCCCCCATAGATTATGCACATCCCAGTCTCGGAAATTTACCGTGCATTAGAACACATTAGCGCCTGCATTTTAAAAGCTAGACTGCTAGCTCCCGGCAAGGAACTCTCGGGAAGTGGCTAGCTAGGAGACGCGCGTTTGTTTTTTACGGTACCACAAGCTTGCAAGAGTGAAGAAAAGCTTTGAGGTGAGACTAAAGAAACCAAAGCAACCAGCAGCTGCCTGTGAGGAACAGAAAGCAGCATCTCTCACATAATTCCCCTGCCCCCCACCCCGCACTCTTGCATCTTTCTCTCGCTCCAGCAGCCCCCTTCTCCTCCCTTCTCCTTGACGCTTGGTTCCAGGAGCAAAAAATGGGGGGGGGGAGCGAACCGAGCTGTCAGCCAAACCTGAAACGTTCGGCCCCGCCCCTCCACATCAATTGGCAGCTGCTCCGAGAAGGTCTGCCTTCCGAGGCTGCTCCTGCTGCGGATTGGTTTCTCCTGCTGCCCATCGAGCACGGTCCCGCCCCGGGCCCGGGAGGATAGGTTGGCTGCTCCCGCAAGCGGCAGAGCCCTTCTGGACAGCTCCCGCTCACCCAAACAGAAGACGTCGGCGCCAGAGTGGGCTCGGACATGGCGAGGCAGCGCGCCCGCACAAGCGGCGGGGCCCGGTGATCCCTCCCTCCTTCCCTACCCCCTCCCCTCTCCCGCACGCACGCCCTGTCCGCCCCCACCCCACCCCCACCCCGGGCGCGCCCGCCCGCAGCCCGGGGCACACACCCGCACGCACGGCCCGGCACACACTCCCGCACTCCCGCGCCCGCCCCCGAGCCCCGTGGCCGAACCACGCCACGCGTGCCTAACCAGCGCGCCGGCAGCCCCCGCCGCTCCCACCGCCCCCGGGCCCCGATGGACTGAATGAAGGCTGCCTACACCGCCTATCGATGCCTCACCAAAGACCTAGAAGGCTGCGCCATGAACCCGGAGCTGACAATGGAAAGTCTGGGCACTTTGCACGGGCCGGTCGGCGGCGGCAGCGGCGGGGGCGGCGGCGGGGGCGGAGGGGGAGGGGGCGGGGGCCCGGGCCATGAGCAGGAGCTGCTGGCCAGCCCCAGCCCCCACCACGCGGGCCGCGGCGCTGCTGGCTCGCTGCGTGGCCCGCCGCCGCCGCCAACCGCGCATCAGGAGCTGGGCACCGCGGCGGCGGCAGCAGCGGCGGCGTCGCGCTCGGCCATGGTCACCAGTATGGCCTCGATCCTGGACGGCAGCGACTACCGGCCTGAGCTCTCCATCCCGCTGCACCACGCCATGAGTATGTCCTGCGAGTCGTCCCCGCCAGGCATGGGCATGAGCAACACCTACACTACTCTCACGCCGCTCCAGCCGCTGCCACCTATCTCCACCGTGTCAGACAAGTTTCACCACCCGCACCCTCATCACCACCCTCACCACCACCATCACCACCACCACCACCATCAGCGTCTGTCGGGCAACGTCAGTGGCAGCTTCACCCTCATGCGCGACGAGCGCGGGCTTCCGTCCATGAACAACCTTTACAGTCCTTACAAGGAGATGCCTAGTATGAGCCAGAGCCTGTCTCCGCTGGCTGCCACCCCGCTGGGCAACGGACTGGGTGGCCTTCACAACGCTCAGCAGAGCCTACCCAACTACGGTCCGCCGGGCCACGACAAAATGCTCAGCCCCAATTTCGACGCGCACCACACTGCCATGCTGACCCGCGGCGAGCAACACCTGTCCCGAGGCCTGGGCACCCCGCCTGCGGCCATGATGTCTCACCTCAATGGCTTGCACCACCCGGGCCACACTCAGTCCCATGGGCCAGTGCTGGCTCCTAGCCGCGAGCGGCCCCCTTCGTCCTCCTCGGGTTCGCAGGTGGCCACGTCGGGGCAACTGGAGGAGATCAACACCAAAGAGGTGGCCCAGCGTATCACCGCTGAGCTGAAGCGCTACAGCATCCCACAGGCGATCTTCGCACAGAGGGTTCTATGCCGGTCTCAGGGGACTCTCTCCGACCTGCTCCGGAATCCCAAACCCTGGAGTAAACTCAAATCTGGCAGGGAGACCTTTCGCAGGATGTGGAAGTGGCTGCAGGAGCCCGAGTTCCAACGCATGTCTGCCTTACGTCTGGCAGGTAAGATCAGGGGCAGCTGGCGGCCAGGCTCTGGGGAAACTGCACCAGTTTGCTTGTGGGGCTGGTCTGTGCGCGGGCTCTGGTCTTTAGCTATGCCCTCTTCTCTCCTATGTATGTCCCCTTTCTTCTCTCTTTCTTTTTCTTCCATTTTCACTTTCTCTTCTCCCATTTTTGGTTCTCTTGCTTTCTCACTCATTGCCTCTGAGTTTTTCCTTGCCCCCTCCTCCTTTTCATTTGGCCTCTTATCAGTGTGCCAACCTTTCCCCTCCTCCTACAGCAGGAGGCGGGATCCGGGCTCTTGCTGTCCTCTATAAGCCCTGTTTTCTGAACTCATGCAAATCGAAAACCACCCTTAGCCAAAACCGATGTACTTGAACTTCCGTAGGACACTTTCCGTTTTCCAGGGTGCCTAGTCTCCTTATGTAGATGCTTTTGACTGTTGGGGGGGGGGCGGCGTCTCCTTAGAAAAGAAAGTGTTCCCAACCAAAGCAAGCAAACTTCTTTGGTCATTGGCAGGAGATACACCCTGGGAACTAATGACCAAGGTACAACACCTCTTTCACATCCTAGCTGAGGCTTTGGTGTTAGCCCTAGGACTTTATGACCCACGAAAGAGTGGAGTCTGGCCGGCTCTAGTGTCACTGACCACAGAAAAAGAGGGTGCAAAGACGAAGGTTGGGGTGCCACATTTGTCACTTTGGGAAGAGACACCGGAGTAAAGAGCTCCATGCCTCACTCGCCTGCAGCTTTTTTCTGGGCTACACGCCTTTGCGAGGATTTGCTGATGTCTGACAGGACTTCAAGAGAGATTAAGCTCTCGGAAATGGGTGCTGAGAAATTAAGATGCCAGTTAGTTAATGCTTCTTGGCTGCAGCAGGCTATAAGCTCCGCCTTTGCATTAAGCGGGCGCTGATAGTGCGCGTAGCGGCGTGGCAGGGAAGGCTAGCAGCTCACGGCAGGGGACCGGTCAACGCGCGGGTTACATTGTTCTGGAGCGGGCACGGCTCTCTGTGCCTCCTCTAGCGGCCAAGAGGCGAGGTACAGCCCTCTATTGTTCTAGGAACACTGAAACCTCCGGTGTGGGCGGTGGGTGCAAGAGCGAAAGACGCAGCCTGGGCTGAGGCTGACTCAATTGCGAGCTTTTGTACACACAGACTCCTCTCCCAGAGTACCACGACTTCTCTACTCTCAGGCCTGAACCGCGGACCCAGACAGGAAAGGCAAGGTGCTCAGACCTCCCACTAGTGAGCACATACAATATCCAGCTGCAAGTCTGGCTGGAAGACTTCTCAAGAAAGGCTTCGTGCTCTAGAACAATTAGTCTTGGCCTTAATTTGCATGAAACCCGCATTTAGGCTCGCGCGGTTCCGAATCAGGGGCTCACTGCTCACTAGCGTTCTGGATCTGCTAGCTCAGGTGTCCACTCCAGTCCCCTAGGACTTTCTTCCACCTCCGAACATGGCTTGTCGGTTGCATCCTACGGTTGTCTAGCATGACTAGGTAGCTGCTCGGTTGGAGGAGGTGTTTCCGCCTACAACCCCCTCCTTTGGCCACTGTTGGATTTTGTTCACTGTTTAGTAGCCTCCCCTGTCAATGTGCAAGAGTAAAGAAAAACAAACAAAAAAACAAAACCCGAGATTTTTTGTTCCAGATAACTCCATTCAAATTCAGTGGGCTGCGAACACTTTTGGAGTTCGAAGTCGACTTTATCTTTTTTGTCCAATAGTTTATTCTTCATCCTCTCCCACATTTCCTTCTGATTTGCTCCAGGCCCCTAGCAAAGATAAAACTGTGAGAACAGGAAGCTCCCATTGTAGCAACTCTTTTGTTTGAGATCCCCCTCTTCCCAATAGAGGAGTAGTAGCTCAAAGGGGTCTCCGACCTCGGCTGACTCCCAGTGCTTAGGAGCTAGAAGGAACTTGGCAGTTGCTCTTTGGGGTACAGTAAAAGGCTGGATGACAGCTATTCTACTCTGGCCCATCTCGGATCGCTGCCGCCCCCTCACGCCCGTCGGGCAAAGGACAAGGATGTTTGAAAACGCTAGCAGCGTTCTTCCTGTGTAGGTCTTGTAAGTTAAGTCTGGCCTTGCTATGAGTCTTTGCTACAGCGCCTGAGGAAGAGTGTGGTACCTGAGTCTCCCAGCCCCAAACTCCTGGAGAGTTGCCGGGTGGCTCCTGGAGGCAAGCTTTCCAGACACAGACCGTGTGGAATGATTTTCGGCGGGGATGTCGAAGGGGGAAGTGCGCTGCGGACCAGGCTTTGCTCAAACATTTAAATGTGAGTCTGTTTTATTACCCTAGGTGAAAAGGGACAAGAGCCTTCGCCTTTTTATCTCGCCGTTTTATCAGCAACTACAAGTGTGTCGAGTGGTTATTATTACATAGAAGGCTTTTCAGGATGGGGTCAGTAGATCAGTCTCTTCAGACACCGCGGCAAAAGCTGGGACAAGTAAATAGGTATTATGTGCTCGGTAGAGTAGGGAACAGAAGCACACAGAGAAAAAGGAGGCTTTTTGATTGTTATTGATCGATGGGAAACCCCGCTGGGAAGCAGCCGAGCCCGGGCCTCTGGGACCCTGGGGTTAAGCAAGCCAGCGACTCCCCAGGATGGCCGTCCCACCCCAGCACGACCTGGGGCCACATCAGGCCACCCATTCTTGATTCTTGTTCATTCATTCATATAGTTCTCTCTCTCTCTCTCTCTCTCTCTCTATATATATATATATATATATATATATATATATATATATATATATATATATATTTGAGACTTGTCGGGGGGACTTTGAGTTTAAAACCTTTGGTTTGGCCGCCATTTTCAAGCGCTATCTTTAGGTCAAGTATATTCAGTCATCAGGAAGACTGGGTCTTCCGACCTGCCCATGCACGCTCCCGGTCTTTCTGCTACCCTGCTACCCGCACAGCCAAGCCCAGATTGCTCTAGAGAGGACAAGGGAGGATGCTGGGGAAGATCAGAGAGTCCCAACATGGAAGTCAGAGAAAGGAAAGTCTACTATGTGCACTGGGTGGTGAGAACAGCAAGCCATTGCTTCTGACCAAATAGGCTGGGAGTGGCCCAAGATGAGGTCCCGCTGTGCTGTTCTTACTACCCCGCCCGGAGAACAAACTCCTGCAGGTTTGAGCACACTTTCCTAGGGCTTTGATCCTCAGGGGCCTCTGCACCGTGCATGAAAGGGAACTAGGAGGGACCTCGAGACCTCAGGGAAGAAGAGTCCGAGTCCATCGCCAGGTGGAGAAAAACGGAGACTTTACAAATGGGGGTGCTTTTTTATTTTTATTTTTTTTTTACAACGCAGGAAACAATAGTGCAGCTGCTATTACCTTCATAGCTGAGGTTTCTGCCTCCTGGGAGCCCGGCCTCCCAGGTTGGCGCTCCCGGAACAGGGCTCTAGTGCCAACTGCGGGAAGACAGTGAGGCCTTCTCCAGGAAGCAGCCCCCAGACAGACAGGATGGAGCCCACTCAGTTCAAGTGGTCTAAGACCCTTAACCAACCCGACATCTTCGGACCCACTTGATGCTCACCATAGTGGTATGGACGGAACATTGACCTATGGCTCCTGCCCAGGCACGCGTCTCCAGCCAAGCGGTACAGGTATTTAGATGACAAGGGAGAGTGGTTTTTGTTATACTGAAGGGCTGGAAGAAGGCCTTCACCTTAGAGTTCCTTCTGTCCCCCACCTAACCTTCTCCACCATCTTGTTTATCCATCCCGGGGCCAGGCCTGCCACTCCCGGGGACTTAGTTCAGCGACCCAAGCCGGGAGGCCAAACCTTACACATGTCGGTGCAGAACAGACTGATCTGTTAGCGCGCTGGTTGATGGGATTAATAACCAGATCACTACCGGTGTCGGTATCGGTGCTTCAAGTCCCTAGTCCCCAAAGAACGCCTTTCTAACACAGATTGCAATCGGTAGGAGTTTGCGGAGGAGGCAGGACACGAGGGAGTGAATCCGAGCTGGTGAAGTATTCCAGGCCGCCGGGCAGTGGGTTAGAGGGGCCTCGCATTTATTTTTATTCCAGGCTTTCCACCGTGTGGTTATGTCACTTTCTCAAACAAATGTGTATATGGAGGGAGATCGATGCTGATAATGTTTAGAAGATTAAAAGAGCATTAATGCTGGCAACAATAACGTAAACGTGTGGACCCAGATTTCATTGATCTGGAACCTGATCCGGCGCGTTTCCAGTAAGTCCAACGGCGGCGTGCTCTTCCCAGAAGAGTGCTCGCCAGTGCCCAGGATCCCTGGCGCTCCGGCCACGCCACTTCGCCAGCTGGGGCCCGGTTCTCAGGTCTAACCGCAACTCCTCCCAGGAGCAGCCGCCGGAGCCAAGCTCCGTTCTCGCCAAGGTTTTCTTAGCCTTGGTCAGGTCTTCTGGGCCCCCTTCTCTACTCTCGAATCCTCGTATCCCTGTGTGCACGTCGCGCCGTACGCTCTCTGCACTCCCTGGAGAGACTCAATCGGTGGCCCGGCGGCAAAAAAGGGGACTTTGGTTCTCCTTGCCCTTGACCATCGTACTTGTTTCAACGGTACCCTGGCTAGTTCTCTCTCTCTCTCTCTCTCTCTCTCTCTCTCTCTCTCTCTCTCTCTCTCTCTCTCTCTCTCACACACACACACACACACACACACACACACACATCAAAACCGTCCTGGAAAGCCCCTTAATTTTGAAATTCATTACCCGATTGCTAAAGTTTAGAAGTGATGTGTGTAAAGTTGCTTGCGAACATCACGGTTTTATGGTCCGTGTATGCCACCCCTAGCACCCGCACTGTTTTCAACACTAAAAGTCCTACTTGCAGACTTTACACCGACCGATGCGTTAGTTGGACTGCCAAACTCAGCCTCAGTAACAAACGCCTGGGCTTCATCACTCAGAATGTCCCGCTCTGCCGTGGACCAACAGGGTCAGCCAGTGGAAGGACCTTGTCCTCTGTTTTGTCGTGGCTAGGATCTTAGCCAAGGCAAATAACTAGGAG